GTTAGCTAGCTGACCAGCCTAGTTCTAGTTAAGAATATAAGTTGCCAGCCCCTCAGTTTAAACAAAAAATGGGTTCTTACTTCATCAATATACTCGGTGCTCCATACAGGCAGCATGAGAGTCAAAGATTATTCCATTAACAGCACACAGTTTTTTGTGCTGTGGCGTATTAATGTACACTTTAGTCGCTGTAAGGCGGTTATAGGTGTGCGTATATCATGGATTTTACAACGGCTTCGAACGCGGCTCAACCAATTAGATTTCAGGACTGGAACTATCCGTTTTATAAATCAGGCGAACCATCACATCTTCAGTGGAGCTTAATCCACAGCTGGATGAGCACATCACCATCCTGAAGGTCACTAAATCAGGTAGAGCTGTCACCTTTAGTTAACCAGTCATATGGCCATGCCCATTCAATGTCCAAATGCTGGAGATCAACTATTCATAATCAAAATGAGCTCAGGATCACTTGATTCATTGGCAATCTACACCAACGATAACGACCACGTTTCAGTCCATGACTCGTCTTTAAGAGATGTCAAAAATCAGAGGGACCATAATTGCTGGCTACGATCAATTAGCCAGGTCTTGGCTTGAAGGCTTATCAATCACCTCATCACTTTAGCGCTGCAGGGAGCTTTGCACTGCGACACTCTCACTCCCCACAGAGCTGCCACGTTCTTATCCCGCTAATCCAGATCACCGCAGCCACACGCTCAATCAGCAGCAGGGGTTAACTTATTTAAATCCTGATTGGATTAATGTGCCTTAAGGTGGTCCAGGATACTTGGCCCTGTTTGGTTCCCTCTCATATAAAGGCAAGCTACAACAAGAGCTAAAGGTAAACCAGTGAGACGATTTCTTTCATAAATCAAGCTGGGGTATTACTGCATGCTGAAAAACCTCCAAATGGGAGGGGCGTAATACCAAAGGGGTGGATCATATCTTCAAATGGGAGGGCATTACTCAGAGTGCTTTACTCAGAGTGCTTTACTATTGGGTGCTAAGAAGTCTGGGTTTTCTGCAACACTGCAGAAATGAATTAATTTTTTAAAGGGCCCATATCATGGAAAATCAAATTTACCTCTGTTTTTTGAGATTAAGGAGTTTTAAGTAATATGCAAACACTGTTAAACTTTCCAAACATCCCATCAACTCTCCAGCTCACACAGTCTGAATGGAAACTGCACAAACAGCCTGCATTTCACTGTTTGTACAAACTTGTTCATATACATCCACCTATTCAGCCTCACCCACTCACACTGACGCTCTAGGCAATGCTTCACCTCTGAATACTTCCTGAATGAGGTTCAATACAGAGCAGCCAATCAGGAAAGAGATACACTTTTAAAAAGGATGGTTTTTCAAGGGTTCTTCAGTGAGGACTGTGGTTTTATATAGAATCATGAGCACCGAAAGCACAATCTGCATGATTAAAGGGTTATTTGCATCATGAAAAGGTTCTTCAGATTGATGGAGAATGTGCCGCAGACGGTTCTATATAGCACCCTTCTGAAAAAGGTTCTATTTTTATAGATTTCTGATATTGTAAAGTTGTCAAGCTTATAACAGAAAAACTCTTTTTGAAACCTTTTCAAAAAGGTTCTATATAGAACCCCTTCATGATGCAAAGAACCCTTTCAAGGGTTATGTGCATTATGAAGGGGTTCTTCAGATTGTTGGAGAATGTGCTGTAGATGGTTAGGGTTCTATATAGAACCCCTGTATGATGCAAAGAACCCTTCAATCACGCAAATGGTTCTTTGAGTGTTCATGGTTCTATACAGAACCACTGTCTTCACTAAAGAAACCTAGAAAAACCATCATTTTTAAGGGTGTAATTCATCATATATCAGCCTTAAAGGCCCAAGGAAGGTTGGTATTCATTTGTGAAAATGAATTATGAATATTTTTGGTACATAAAACAACACAAATGTTATAAGTCTAAAAAATGTGTATTTAAATGGGTTAAATCCACATCATGGATATCATTTATAAAATCACCGAAGTTGGTTCAGCCTGCAGGCATACAAACTTAAAGTCTGAAGATCAAACGTTCTTCAGCAAAACCTTTCTGAGATATAACCGATGCAGCCAAGCGGATCCCAGAAACGGTGATTTATTGGTTCTTCCGCGGGCAGCACTGGTTCACTCTGTCGAGTCCCTTTGTGTCCTCCCTTTCTCAAATGAGGCTACCTTTATAGGACAGCTGCATCAATAGGGAGCCTGTGAAGGTTAAGTGCCTCTCTCCAGGGTCCAACATCAGTGTCAAGCTTAGGATCCAGCCCCTAACGATGATGCCTTCAGCGTATAGATCCGAGGCACATGCATGCTAAGTCATGCTTCCCATGGTACGCCAGTAGATAAAGGTGGAGTGTCCCATCATGTGGACTCTATTAAACCATAAGCTAAATCAGCCTGAGCCTTCTGACCAAGCTGCTCTCATGCTTTTACCCCTATGATGAAAAACAGCTAATCAGCCTCTGATGAGCTCTTCAGCTGCAGGACAGTCGTTGCTATTGCTTTGCTTTGCTCCAGGATTCCATCGTAAGACTTTCTGTTGTTTAACTCTTGTCCTCAGTGCAACTAGGCAGATGAAGACAGGCCAGTTTTGCTGTCGCTGCTCTGTCGTGCGCTGACAGGCTCCTGCGAGGCTTTGCGTCAGCCACGCTTGACCGGGCAGGAAGCCCCTGTAAATGCAGACAGGGCCAAAAATACTGCCTGCCTGAAATGATATAAAAACCTGATATATGAAGCTACAGATGGATTTATGATCAAACCAGGGTTCATGCCGCACAGAACGGAGCCAATTTACAGTAGCAGCTCCCTCAATGGATCTGCGGAAAACATTAAGGACGCTGGGGAGATGGCGAAAAAAAGGCATGTGTGCTTAAACAGGTTTATTATTAGCCAACATTATTAAGAGCCAAATCCCACAGGTAAAATTAAGCAGTTCACTGGCCCTTTTATGACTCCCCATTTGCTTCTCCTTACTTCAGAATTCTTAAACCTGCCTGCCTTATTGCCTTAAAGAGGGAATTCTTCATATTTTTACATTATCAGTCATTCAGAGTGGTTTGATGCACAAAAGCCCCATTCCAGAGAAAGTCAGAACTGATGGTGGTGGACTGTGGTGATGTCCGAAGAAAGTGGTGCACAACTTGGACGTGTTGCACCAATGAGACACTGGTTTGCGACAGTTTTCATAAAAGTTTTGGCCTAAAATGTATATTTTTTATCCACTCATGGAGGAGAGGTACATAGTGGAGCACTGTAAAGCAAACTAGTCTACAAAGAAAGCTTATTTCTTTAGATTTACCACTATTTTTACACTATCAACATGACATATCGCTGTTCTCCTATCTCCAAAATAGTAACTTTACAGGAGAAGGAAAAAAAACGTACTTTACTTTTAATGTAAGTCAATGGAACCAGACTTTTTTCCATGTAACTTTGGGCCATTTCCTTTGGTCCAGTCATCATGAAATTTACACACAGTGTAAAGGATAACAGGCGTTTTCACACAATGTCAAAAACTGAAAACCGACAAAAACGGACAATGTTTTGTTCTGACAGCAGCGATTTAAAAAAACTCGGATGACGTTTAGGTTATTTTCTTTCCAGAAGGCTATAATTGCATTGCAGATGTTGTGATGCCCACTGTAATTAAAAAACAGAAGAGGAAAATCTGAGATGGTGAGTGTCTCTATAACGCACTTGGTTTACATCCACTGAGCCGAGCCCAAGTTATACCCTTATAGCTGCACTTTGCTTCACTGAGCCTACCGAGCGTGCGCTGCAGTGTGGATTGCAAATTGGCACTGGAGTGCCACAGCGCTCAGAGCAGAGAGCTCAGGGCAAAGCTCCTGAAGGGAAATCCAGAGGCTATCCGCTCTACAGGGAAACACCTAAAAAAGAGGGAGGGGTCATGGAGAGCAGAGGGAATTCGAGAAGAGAGCCTGACCTGGACCAATCAGCTCTGGAGGAGAAGGGAATAGCGTGCAAGGGTGTTTGTGTGAATACCTGAGTATGAGAGAGAGACACACACACAGAGGGAGGAGAGAGAGAGAGAGCATATCCCTGTCTTTGGCTCCTCTGCTGCTGGGATCTATGAGGAGTTCTGCCGCACTGTCACAATACTCACTACTCACACACTCACACACATACACACACACACACACTGCAGAGGCTCGTGCAGCGCGAGGTATCTGATAAGCACATTAAAGCCATTAAAAAAAAACAGAAAATAAAATCAATGCCCAGCAATCAGCGACCACATCAAAAGAGCGAGGACAAGTACACTAAACCGGCCCGTGCACTCACTGCGCGTGAGTGAGCGCGCGCGCCGGCTCGTGCCCTCCTCTGCTCTGCTCACACTCAGCAGCGTTACGTTAAAGTTGAGAGTGCACTGTTGCATTCAAGGTTATCCCGTTTCGAAAGAGCAGCAGGCTGGCCCACTCCGGCCTGAAGGACCGGACCGGTATCTGTTACCTGCTCGGCTTTGACCGAGCTGAACGATTTGACACGAAACGAAGACGTTCAGAAGAACGTACAGTGGCCGCATTAGCTTAGTCCTGTTAGCTGTACAGTGCACGCCTGCGGACCAGCCCAGCCGAGTGAACGAGCTAATAACGCAATGGCACAACTGTTTACTATTCACCGGCCATGCGAAAACACGGTGAAGACGCATGTGTGACTAACGTGGCCGTATAACCCAAAATACTCAAGTAAGTGCGAGGCTGAAGTTGCCTTCCTATTCGAATTTCCCCGTTCCACCTTAAAACGGTGCAGCAGTGACATTCCGTTTAAGGCGGAACGGGGAAAATTCGAACGAGAAGCTGGCGAATAGGAGGCTGACTTCAGCTTCGCCAAGTCGCTAGCAGGCTACTTCCTTAGCGGGCTCCCTCTGCTGCTCCGCCACCCCTCTCGGCAGAAACCCTCATCCGCCCCCCCGCCTCGGTCCAACACAACACCCCGCTCTCCCGTCCGGGTCCTACCGTGCTGGTGTGTGGCTGATGTCGGTGTGAGGAGGAAAAGGGAGAGGCTGCCGCAACGCCGCTCCGGGACAGGACGAGTCTGCACACTTTCGCGGCCATCTCTGGAGTGAGAGCCAGGCAAGAAGGCAACTGCTGCGGACGAGCTGAGTGGAGACCGCGGAGGGGAAGGGAGGGGAATGGGGAGGGTTAACGTTACTGGGCTGGTCTGCCGCACACGCACACGCACACGCACACAGCCAGATCAGTCATTTTCAAACCGAGCTCAGCACAGCCGATAGAAACATTACTTCTCGTGTTGCCACACAAACACAGCGAGGCTAAGTGAAGTCAGAACAAACACGGATGAACGGCCCGCTTTCAACCAAACAGCAGTTCATATTTCACTCATTCTCATTCAGCCCCGTCGTTATTGTGTCTCCATGACTACAGTTTAAACCGTTTATGTACGAAGACCAAGAAAGCGGCCGTTGTGAGGGGAAACGTGAAAGCAGCGATGTGATTGGCCGAGAGGTTACCTGCTGGCAGCGCACGAGCACTTCTTCAGCCAATGAAAAGCGGAGTCTCAGTTTGACAACTTAAGGACGCCAATTTCGGCCAATCAGAGAACGCGGGACACTCGCACGCGCCTGCAGCGTTGTAGTCGAAGCGATCGGTTATGAGATTAATTTACGATCGATTCATCGATTTATTCCTCAATATGTTACCCACATTGTCATATATGTTACATTTGGTCACGATTTTATGAGGCTAATTTGTGGAAGCTTATATTCTAAATTTTCTTAGGACCCTTCAGCACTTCCATACTAAAATAAATGGTTCGTCGAGGGTTCTTTGGTAAAGGACATGGTTCTGTTTGGAACCATATGTTCTATATATAACCACTGCATGCCTAAACAGTGCTTTGTATTGTGAAAGGGTTCTTCACATTGATGGAGAATGTGCTGTGTATGGTCCTACACACTTAAAAAATATGGTTCTTCATGGGTTCTCTAGTAAAAAAAAATAAAAGGTTCTATATGGAACCATGAACACTCAAAAAACCCTTTACATGATTAATGGGTTCTTTGCATTATGAAAGGGTTCTTCAGATTGATAGCGAATGTGCTGTATATGGTCCTACACACTTAAAAAATATGGTTCTTCAAGGGTTCTTTAGTAAAAAAAGGTTCTATATGGAACCCTGAACACTCAAAGAACCCTTTGCATGATTAATGGGTTCTTTGCATTATATAAGGGTTCTTCAGGTTGACGGAGAATGTGCTATATATGGTTCTATGTATAAATGTTTTTGAAAAAGATTCTATATATCACCAAAGGGGTTCTTCTATTGATACAAGCTTGACATAGTTACAATAGAAGAACCATTTTTGGTGCTATGTAAAGTCATTTTTACAAAAAGAACCATATATAACATATTTTTCAATCAATCTGAAGAAACATTTCACCAGGCAAGGACCATTTAAGCATGAAATGGTTCTATATAGAACTATAGTAGAATCATTATATTCTATAATCTATAGGGGCATCAGATGCTTCAGATGTCTGGTTCCTCTCACCGCCGCTGTGAACAGTTCTGACTCTGTAAGTTTCTCTAGAACAGAGAATTTCACAACTCTGAATGACATCTTAACTGTTTAATTATGTAGATTTTTTTGAAAAATCAGTGGACTTCCCCTTTGAAGGTTTTTTGAGCTTTTCAACTTGCTAACAGTACACTTGCGAGATTCATTCACCTTGTTCGATTCCTAATGCTAAACCATTGTAATGAGGCTGCTCCTCAATCAAACTGGGTGATTCGTTTTCAGTCACAGCCTGATGAAAACTGACTGTTTCAAAGCATTACCAAGAGGCCTATACGCATATCTCAACGTGCCCTTGGCACCTGCAGCAGAGTCACTGTGTCACACTTGTGCCACTGTGTTGTTGTTCACCCCCAGATTCTTGGCAGTAGATCTGTCCTTTCCATTATATTATTACTTTTCTATTATTAGTCCGTCCTTCAATCTGCTCTGTGGTTATGTAGGGCAAGGAGGTGCTCGGACGGCTCTGATTTGATCGATCCAACCACCTCACTCACCCCATGCGTTCACACAATGGCCTAATGTAAAATATTGATAATTTATCAAGCAGGATTCATCAGTGTGCCTGTTCAAAACACTGAGTCTGTTTGTAGGCTGATGACTGAGGAAGACAGAGAAAAACAGAGAAAAGTTTTGTTCAGGCCAAAAGTTAATTATAGCTTGTGATCCTGAAACCTCACAATGCAATACAATGCAGTCTTTACACAGACTAAACTGACGTCTCCCTATTATAATGTGGCTCAATCCATGAGAACTATTTTCAAATAAATCCCTCAACTAGCCTAATGTTAAAGGGCAACCCTTAGGGCCTTCTAGGCCTTCAGAGAAGGCGTGATGATTCCTAGAAGCTAAAAAAATACATGCATAGAAATTTTAGCACATTTTTATTTAATAGAATCATTTATTTACCTCTGCAGGAACTATTAATTTAAACTCTGCAAGTATTATAGTACTACTGTTGTTTCTTTGAAAGTTTGAGATGGAAACAAAAGGATTAAATTCTTGAAACATCCAGCAAAGAACTGGCCAATCAGGAGTTGTTTGTCTTTGTGGTATCCAGGTAGATACGACTAAACAAGCTCTCCTATTGCTTAGGGTCTTGACTAATGCATTCGTTTAACCACCAGCATAATAACTTAGTGACAGAGAAGTCAATCAACTACATTTGGATTTCCAATAGGCGTGAGAAATTGTCAGTCTAGGCGACCGGTCGGCAACGTGCGGCTCTTTTACTGCCCTGTTGTGGCTCCACAACAGAATTAGATATCGGGGTAAAAATAAAATAATCCTCCTTTGCTGTGAAATAAAGCTCTGCTGATCATTCAACACTGTTTTAACAATAAATGGTCTTAAACGCTGGAGTTAATGTAGCCTATATCTGCTAATTCACCCTTTAACCCTGTTGATGCTCAGACTGCTGGTCACATAGCAACACAGACAAGCTAGCAGCAGCAAAGACAAAGAAAAGACAAAGAGAAAGATTAAAGACGCACATTAATAATTTGGAGATGAATGGACTTATTTGCATTTATAATCACTCCAGCTGGTTTCCTCATACGTTTAATCTGCATCGAGAAACTGACAAACACCAAAAGGTTGCGAAGCTGAAGTCAGATTCTCATTCGAATTCTCCCGTTCCACCTTAAATGGTGCAGCAGTTACATTCTGGTGCCTCAGTCACCATTTAAGGTCGAACGGGAAAATTCAAACAAGAAGCTGGAGAATGAGAAGCGACTTCAGCCTCGTGAAAAGACGAACGTCGAGAGACATTTTACAAGAAACTATTCTACTTTTGTGGAAATGTTTCCTGCCAGAGATGCGAGAAAAGCAGCTATAGCTGAGCCAAAGCTTAAAGTAGAGTAAAGTAAGTCTGCATTTTCGTTTGTTATATTTTTAGCCTATGCTTGTACATTTGCGCATACTGAGACATATTTACAGCCAAGATGATAAAAGGGACATAAAATGTTGAGGCTCCCAAGGTAGTTTGATTTTTGTTGAAAGGACAAAATGGCTCTTCTTAACATTTGGGTTGTCGACCCCTGGTCTAGGCCTTCTGGAACTCCGAGATACATCGCTGACTCTGAAGATGCCCAGCAGCCTAATCAATAGGCTGTTAGAAATGGAAAACAGTGGCGGCAGCTCTAAACCAGGCTAAGTCATTTTGAAACTGCTACATATGCTAATATGTCTGTCACAAGTTTCAAGTAAAACATGAAATGCCTTTTAGAAGCTTGAAACGTCTGTGTTTAATCTGGCACAACCAATAAATGTTAATGCGAATCTGCATCAGCTTAGTGCTAATAAACTACTAGTATCCCATAGAGACACTAGCTGAGGTTAGAATTATCGAAGAGGTGGGTTTTTTCCTCATGTTTAGACCTCGTGTTGACATTTACATCCCAAATTGAAGGCCTACTTCTAACAATCACAGTTCAGTACTGCCTAACGTAAACATTTAAATTAATGTTAGATGCTAGTGTTATGCCTTGAGAGCATCAGCATGTTTGAGACCTAACAGCAGACAGGAAACAAATTACATTGTCATTTTTTATTCACTGAAAGTAGTTTTCATATAAGGAGGCCCATTCATTTTTTGGCTCTAGGGCCCGTAATCCTAGTTACGCCACTGTATAGAACCACGCCTTGCTCTTGTTGAGTCCCATGTTCCATTACTTCGCCGTTCAAGAGAGCAATCGCTTAATTATGCCATTATGTGAGCGCATTTAGATGCATTAACACTGTTTTTGTCTCCTACTAATCTGATTCTGGGATTATGAGTCTGAGGTTGATGTATTTATACTACATTATTGTTGGCAGAATCAAGCACCTGTTACTGATTGTGATTGTTTCTTTGCATGCAATTCATCCTTCATTGGGTGCTGACCAGCACTGCTGCAGACCGCTCTACACCCTTCAAAATCAATAAAGAGTTTGAGATGGCAGTGAAATGACAGGCTCTCTCTGAGTAACTCAAGTAGCGACCATAGCTTGATCCCCAAACCTCAGTGAGGTGCGTAGCGCTGCAGTGCAGAAGTGGTGCAATTTAAATGCAAATCAACTGGCTGAGATGACGACCACACTGCAGGCCGAAGTGGAACTGGGTATCCCCAGAGAGTTTGGGTGCAGCTTGGAGTGTTTGCATGGTTGTTTTGGAGACATCTGAAGAGTGAAAACATCTAAAGAGAACGCTAAAGCTCTTACGGAGACGTGGCAGTGGTCATTTTTCAGAAAATATGTTTTCATTGTGAACAATTTCGGTGTTTCAATAGGGAATACAGTGTATACAGCTTACTAGCCTGCTCTTACAATGAACACTTTTTCTAACCAATGATTGAAGACTTGACCAAATTACATCATACAGTGGCCTGTATGATGCACTATTGTCCAAACATTTGTAGGCACCAGCATTTCTTCTGAAATCAGCAGTATTACTGCTCCACAGCTCAATGCAGGAGAGCTTCATACCCCTCTAGCCGACTCTTGGCATTGGGCATGGTGACCTTAGGCTCTTGTGTGGCTGCCCAAGAGCACATTTTCAATGCTTTTCTATGGAGATTATGTGAGTAGTGCAAGTGGACACCTGTGTCAGCAGTGGGTGC